CTGTCGGAGCGCGCCTTAGCGCCTCCCCCTCAGCGCCCTCGTGCGCCTCTCTTTTTTTCGGCCCCTTAAGGCCCCGTCGACCCCGCGCGCCGCCCTTTTGCGACCCGCGCGCCGCCCAGCTGGCCCCGTCGACCGCGCGCGCGCCCCGCTTAGAGGCCCCGCTGGCCCCGTCGACCCCGCGCGCGCCCCGCTTAGAGGCCCCGCTGGCCCCGTCGACCCCGCGCGCGACTCGCTTAGAGGCCCCGCTAGCCCCGTCGACCCCGCACGCGACCCGCCTAGAGGCCCCGCCGGCCCCGTCGACCCCCGCGCGCCCCGCCTAGAGGCCTTAGCGGCCCCGTCGACCCCGCGCGCCGCCCTTTAACGGCCCCGTCGACCCTACCTGCCGCCCCTTAACGCCCCGCACGTGACAGCCACGGCCCCGCCAGAACCAGGCCGCCCCTAACCGAGTCGACCGAACCGAGCCGCCCAGTCCGAGCCGAGCCGCGCAGCCCGAACCGAGCCGCGCCGCCCTAACCGAGCCGCCCTACCTGAACCGAGCCGCGCCGAGCCGTACTGTGCAGCTTCTCTGGACCGAGCCGCCCTACCTGAGTCGCGCTGCCTACTGCTGCTACTATGGCTAGTCCTCCTGTGCTAGCTTTCGATGCTGAGGGCCGCCCAGTGAAATTTGACACCTGGCTAGATGACCTGCACCTCTTCCTACAGCTCACTGCCAAGGAGGACATCTCACTGTACGATCATGCCCTCGGCCATGCTACTGCCCCTCCTACTACTGCTGACAGCACTGCCCGCTCACAGTGGCAGACTCGTGACGCCCACGCTCGCTTTGCTATTCGCAACTCCCTGCCGATAGATGAGCGCGAGCACTTTGGCCAGCACAAGACTGCTAAGGAACTGTACACTGCTGTAGTTGCTCGCTACTCCTCACCTGCTTCTGCCGCACTAGGCCGCCTCTCACTCCCCTACCTGTTCCCCGACCTGGCCTCCTTTCACACAGTTGCTGACCTCATCACCCACCTCAAGACTAGTGAGGCCCGCTTCCGTGCTGCTATGCCCGATGAGTTCCTTGCTAAGAACCCCCCCCCGCTCTGGCTCACTCTCTACCACATCGTCACCCGCCTCCCTGACTCTCTGCGTGCAGTCAGGGATCACTTCCTAGCTCGCTGCCCCACTGAGCTCACCATTGCCCTCCTCGAGAAGGAACTACTTGCAGCTGAGGCGAGCATCGTCGCTGTAGGTGCCTCTCGTGGCGACCCCCGCACCCCTTTCTTTGAGGGGTGTTCCCCTTCCCCCCTTCTTCCCTCTGTAGCCTCTGCTTCTGCTGTCGACCTCCTTGGTGCTGAGAAGGTCGGGACTGCGTCCGCTCCGAGCGGGCGCCGCAGGGGCAAAGGGGGCAAGGGAGGCGGAGGTGACGGCGGGGGAGGCGGTGGTGGAGACGGGGGTGGTGACGGCAGCGGCGGGGGCGGTGGCAGGGGCGGGGGCGGCGGTGGGGGCGGAGGTGGTCACGGCGGCGGCAGGGGAGGGGGTGGTCGAGGAGGTGGCGGCGGCGGTGGTGGTCGTGGAGGCGCTGGCGGTGGCCAGAGCCAGCAGCACACTCCGTCGCCCCAGGAGGTCCGTGAGTGGTACTCTCAGCGCGGGGGAGGGGGGGGGGGGGGGGGGGGGGGGTGGCTTTAGCTGCACGTACGTCATCCGCACTGGTGACCGCACTGGTCAGACGTGTGGGAGGCCGCACCCCACGCAGCGCTGTTTCTCTCGCCTTGACGACGCTTGGCGTACTCAGTTCCCTGATGCCACTGAGCTGCCCCGCTGGGCTGATCTGATGAGGAAGGGAGTTGATATCTATGCACTAGACTTTGATGCTATTCTCACTGCCATGTATGTGATGTTTACTAGTGGAGAGGGTGCTCAGTACCTGCGTGTTCCGCCCGACCCGGGCATTCGGACCAGTGAGGCTGCCGCTCTAGGTGCTAGTGAGACTGCCACTCCAGGTACTCGCGTGTCTGCTACCTCAGGTGCTGGTGAGGCTGCTGCTCTAGGTGCTCATGAGTTTGTGCCCCCTGGTACTGAGTCGACTACGGCACTGCACACCTTCACACTGGACTCAGGTGCTTCTCGCTGTTTCTTTCGTGACCGCACTGTCCTTGAGCCACTCGCTCGGCCAGTTGCTGTCTCCCTCGCTGACCCCTCTGGGGGTCCGGTCATTGCGACCTCCTCCACTGTCCTTCCTTGTCCTGCGGTCCCGTCGGGCACACTGTCAGGTCTCCACCTCCCCTCGTTCTCTACGAACTTGGTGGCGGGTTGTGCGCTCCAGGACGCGGGTGTTCACCAGTTCACCCCTGCCTACGAGCGCGTGACACACTGCACGTGTGCTCGGACGGGCCGTCACCTGGCTACCTTCACTCGGCAGCCGGGGTCGGACCTGTACACACTGACCACTGAGTCCCCTCAGGTAGCTGCGTCTGCGTCTACGTCTGCGTCAGGTCAGCTGTCGGCCCCCTGCTCGTGTCGCTCTCTGGCGCACGAGACCGTCCTCTGGCACCACCGACTTGGTCACCCGTCTGTGCAGCGCCTTCGTGCCATGCACAAACGGTACCTTGTCTCTGGTCTTCCCAGGGTTCTCCCTCCCCTCCCACCCTCGCCTGCTCCTCCCTGTCTTCCCTGTGTCGAGGGGCGGCAGCGCGCCGCTCCTCATTCCTCCTCGTTTCCCCCGACGACTGCTCCCTTGCAGACGCTCCACATGGACGTGTGGGGCCCAGCCCGCGTCCGTGGACAGGGTCAGGAGAGGTACTTCCTTATCGTGGTTGACGACTACTTGCGCTACACCACGGTCTTCCCCTTGCGCACCAAGGGTGAGGTCCCTGATGTCTTGATCCCTTGGATCAGCAGAGCTCGTCTCCAGCTCAGTGAGCGTTTCCGCTCGGACTTTCCTGTCCTGCGTTTGCACTCTGACAGAGGTGGTGAGTTCTCCTCCGACCTCTTGGCAGCCTACTGTGCGGAGCACGGCATTGAGCAGTCGTTCACGCTTCCGGCCTCTCCACAGCAGAATGGGGTTGCTGAGCGCTGCATTGGCTTGGTCATGGAGGTCGCTCGTACCTCCGTGATCCATGCGGCTGCCCCCCACTTTCTGTGGCCGTTTGCGGTCCGATACGCTGCGCATCAGCTCAACCTCTGGCCCCGTGTCTCCTTGCCGGAGACTTCCCCGACACTGCGTTGGACGGGAGAGGTTGGTGATGCGTCGCGTTTTCGGGTCTGGGGATCCCGAGCTTTTGTTCGCGATACGTCCGCGGACAAGCTCTCCTCTCGTGGTGTTCCCTGTGTCTTCCTTGGCTTTGTCCCGGACGCGCCTGGTTGGCAGTTTTACCACGCCACCTCGCGCCGGGTCCTGCCCTCTCAGGACGTCACTTTTGACGAGTCCGTCCCCTTCTACCGCCTCTTCCCCTACCGCACTGCCCCGCTCCCCCCCCCCCCCCCTCTCTTCCTCGCTCCAGGTGCTGCTGTACTAGACCCCCTCCCCCCTCAGGGTGCCGCTCCCTCAGGTGTGTCCCTGGTCAGTTTCTTGGCGTTCTACACGCTCTTCTTTTGTTCTCAGCTCCAGTTGTGAGGCTGGGATCTACGCCACAGCCATGGCGGCCCAGGAGCTACGCTGGCTCACCTACCTGCTGACCGACTTGGGAGAGCGGCCTCTGTCAGATTATGTTATTTGTCTAGCCTGCAGTGGGGTGCTCATTAGTGAGTACAACCCCTTAGGGTTTCCTATATGTATCCTGCTGCTTGCTAGTTCATCATCATTCCCATTCTCACTTCTCCAATTCTCCTTCGTATACCACAAACCCTAGTCCTAGGGCACAACCTACTACCTCCTAGTGTGGGCCTAGGCTACTAAGCCTAGGCCCCACTCCTATTGTTTCTAACATGGTATCTAGAGCGAGCACGTTCCTGCCGCTTACCTCTATGGGCCCACCACCTGCTTCCGCTGCCGTAGTGTCCGCCGCGCGCCCCGTGGTGCGCGGCGGCGAAACCCTAATTTTTCATCCCGCCGCGCCCTCGAAGCGTGCGGCGGTTTTCTGCCCGCCGTGCGCCCCGAGGCGCGCGGCGGTTTTCTGCCCGCCGTGCGCCCCGAGGCGCGCGGCGGCTTTCTGCCCCGTCGCCCCCGCGTCGCCCCGCGTCGTTCCCGTCGCCCGCGGACCCCCGTTCCCGTCGCCCGCGGCCCCCCCGTTCCCGTCGCCCGCGGCCCCCCGTTCCCGTCGCCCGCGGCCCCCCGTTCCCGTCGCCCGCGGCCCCCCGTTCCCGTCGCCCGCGGCCCCCCGTTCCCGTCGCCCGCGGCCCCCCGTTCCCGTCGCCCGCGGCCCCCCGTTCCCGTCGCCCGCGGCCCCCCGTTCCCGTCGCCCGCGGCCCCCGTTTCGTCGCCCCGCGCCCCCCCTTTCGTCGCCCTGCGCGGACGCCAGCGCCACGGCCAGCCGCGAGCGCCAGCGCGGCCCGTACGGACTGCGCCAGGCCAGGGCGCGCCTCGAGCCGCTCGCCACTGCAGCAGCCGCCCCTGGAGCCGCCCACCACTGCAGCAGCCGCCCCTGGAGTCGCCCGCCACAGCAGCAGCCGCCCCTGGAGCCGCTCGCCACTGCAGCAGCCGCCCCTGGAGTCGCCCGCCACAGCAGCAGCCGCCCCTGGAGCCGCCCGCCACTGCAGCAGCCGCCCCTGGAGCCGCCCGCCACTGCAGCAGCCGCCCCTGGAGTCGCCCGCCACTGCAGCAGCCGCCCCTGGAGTCGCCCGCCACAGCAGCAGCCGCCACTGGAGCCGCCCGCCACTGCAGCAGCCGCCCATGAATCGCCCGCCACAGCAGCAGCCGCCCCTGGAGCCGCCCGCCACTGCAGCAGCCTCCCCTGGAGTCGCCCGCCTCTGCAGCAGCCGCCTCTGGAGCAGCCGCCACTGGAGCCGCCGCCCCTGGTGCAGCCGCCCCTGGGCCCGCGACGCCGCCCCTGGAGCAACCGCACCAGCAGCAGCCGACCATGCAGCTGCCCGCGACGCCGCTCCTGGACCCTGTGCAGTCGCGCTCAGTCTCACCCGCGCCCTACCCTACCTGCTCCGCGCTGTTGCTCTGCACGCGCGGTTGCCCGCGCCCTCGTGCGCTCTACCCTACCTGCTCCGCGCTGTTGCTCTGCACGCGCGGTTGCCCGCGCCCTCGTGCGCTCTACCCTACCTGCTCCGCGCTGTTGCTCTGCACGCGCGGTTGCCCGCGCCCTCGTGCGCTCTACCCTACCTGCTCCGCGCTGTTGCTCTGCACGCGCGGTTGCCCGCGCCCTCGTGCGCTCTACCCTACCTGCTCCGCGCTGTTGCTCTGCACGCGCGGTTGCCCGCGCCCTCGTGCGCTCTACCCTACCTGCTCCGCGCTGTTGCTCTGCACGCGCGGTTGCCCGCGCCCTCGTGCGCTCTACCCTACCTGCTCCGCGCTGTTGCTCTGCACGCGCGGTTGCCCGCGCCCTCGTGCGCTCTACCCTACCTGCTCCGCGCTGTTGCTCTGCACGCGCGGTTGCCCGCGCCCTCGTGCGCTCTACCCTACCTGCTCCGCGCTGTTGCTCTGCACGCGCGGTTGCCCGCGCCCTCGTGCGCTCTACCCTACCTGCTCCGCGCTGTTGCTCTGCACGCGCGGTTGCCCGCGCCCTCGTGCGCTCTACCCTACCTGCTCCGCGCTGTTGCTCTGCACGCGCGGTTGCCTGCGCCCTCGTGCGCTCTCCCGCCCCGGCCCTCCCCCCCCCCCCCCCCCCCCTGCGTCCCTTGGACGGGAGGGTGTGGGGGTGGCGGGTGTGGGGGTGCTCCTTGTGCGTCGCCCCTACCTTCTCCTCCGTCTCCCACTGCTGCAGCTGCCGCTGCGGGGGGGTGGATGTGTGGGAGACGAGGGAGTGGCGCTAGGGGGGTGATGTGGGCGTGGAGCGAGTGGTGACCCTGGGGGTGTGTGTAGGGGGGAGTGAGACAGTTGGAGGAGGTTGCAGCCTGGTGCTCCTGGTGCCCGTGTGTCTGCAACTTCAGTCGTCGCCTCCTCTCTTCTCTCCCTCCACAGTTCCTCCTCCTCCTCACTGGCCTCCTGTGACTGCCACTAGCTTTGCTGATAATTGTGAACTATTGCTGTGACTTCTCACGTGTGCTGATTACACCCCACTTTGGCTATGGGGGTGTGTCAGATTATGTTATTTGTCTAGCCTGCAGTGGGGTGCTCATTAGTGAGTACAACCCCTTAGGGTTTCCTATATGTATCCTGCTGCTTGCTAGTTCATCATCATTCCCATTCTCACTTCTCCAATTCTCCTTCGTATACCACAAACCCTAGTCCTAGGGCACAACCTACTACCTCCTAGTGTGGGCCTAGGCTACTAAGCCTAGGCCCCACTCCTATTGTTTCTAACAGCCTCGTTCTCCTCCAGTGCTGTACGTCGACAAAAAGGCTGCCATTGCCTTGTGTGAGGAGCACAGACTGGAGCACAGAACGAAGCACATCGCCTTGCGGTACTTCCTTGCTCGAGAGCTGCAGCAGCGCGGTCAGCTTCGTCTGCGTTACGTGGCCACTCGGGCCAACACTGCTGATGTGTTCACCAAGGCGCTTCAGCCTTGTGACCATCAACGTTTCTGTACTCTTCTAGGCCTTGTGCCTGCTGGACCTCACTTGCTTACTGCTTGACTCTGCTTGTACTGTGATCTCTATATATATACCTGCATGTTTACTCTTGCTAGGTTGTGATCACTGTATCTCTTGTTATATTATCAAACTGCATGTGAACTGGTCTTGTGACCACTTGCTTGTGCTCGGAATTTGTGTGGTATCCTTGAGATCCACCCTGAGCTTGCTTTGCTTTGCTTTGACTGGTCTCATGACCCTGTGGTTGTCTCCCACTGCGCCTATGGGGGTGTGTCAAACATTGTATGTTTAAGTTGTGTAGGCTGTAGTGGGTTACACCTTAGGGGGTACACAAACTTAGGGTTTCCTACTTGTACCAAACTTCCTGCTAGTTCATTCATTCCTGCTTCAGTTATTCTGACAGGAACGAATCTGATGCGATCCAGATGCAATAATTGCAACCCCTGCGAAGTTGTCATTTTGCGATCATTGCATACATAAAAAAAAACGGGCCAAAAAATATATAACCCAATCGGAAACGCATACAACTCGGGAGGAGTAAACCATAAACACGTGGCGGCCCCCGTATTTATGGCCAATCCCTTCCGAAAAATGAGTCCAGGTTCCTTTTTTTTTTTCGCCATTTTTCCGTTTTTGTTTTTTTTTTTTTTCGCTGCCTTACGGAACCTCCACCCTAGCACGAGGCGAGTTTTCGTGTTTATGGTTGAACTCTCTCGAAAAATGTCCCGGTTCCCTATGAGTTGTACTTTTCTTTTTTCCGACTGCCCTGTTAGGTCGATTTTGTGTCATGCTATGCTGCTTGAGTTGCGCATGCTGCGTTACCTGATGAACAGTGTTTCTAGTAGCGAGCTTGTACAATCATTAACAATAGAAGCACAAGAAACGACGGGATAGTATGCACATGAACAGCGCGGGATAGTATTCTACATGAACCATGCACGGCTATCAATGTGTCGTTCAACAAGCCTCACCTTTATTGTTTTTTAGAACATTACGCTATTATCGCAAACGCGTATGTAGGGACTAAGGGATTGAGAAAAAAACAAAAAGCGGGGAACGCGGTGCGAGGGTTGTCGACAGGATTTAGCAAAAATTGAGAATCGTCGCGTCGCGCAATTATTTCAATCAAAACGGTTCTCCTAAAGTAGCCCGGAATGTTCAAGGCATAAAGGGCGAATGCCCTTGCTTAGGCCGGCCCTGATCGTGGCGCGTAATGTTGTGACCTGGAAATGACCTAGGAAACAACACTAGATCATTCTACTGTACTGTATCCGATCCGAACCCCAACCCGACCCAGCGCTTTGCCAACGTGGTTGACTGTTGCGACTCCAGCGCAGCGAAGGAAATATTCACTCGCATGTCACTCCACTCTTTGTACGTGTTGTACTGTTGTACTTGATTTCGAGTGCTTTGAGATTGTTGAAGTGGTATGGTTTGTGGCCGTTGTGGAGAAATCCCTTCCTACATCCCTCCCTCCCTTTCCCCCAGAGCCCTCCCACTATTCTTGTACTAGTTCTCCCACAGTACTCTCGCCATCCTCCCACTATTCTCCAGGCCCAGAGCCATGAATCGAGCTAAGATGCTCGCGAATCATTGCATGCTGGTGCTCACCTTATCGCCCTTTGCTGACTGGACTTATCTCTTGGATGGAAAAGGAAGTCAATGTTTTCTTTGCGCTCGAATCGCCACTGTTGACAAGTCTAGCAGTACTGTACCAATGTTTGCAACGAGAGCGATAAAGGCCAGCCTTATTCGCCAGCTTAGTTGCCTCATCAGTCGAGCTGTCCACCTACCTCCGCTTCAGATCAGACCCAGTCGCCAGTCGCACATTTCCTTCGCGAACGAAACTGGCAAAGCTCGCGTTTCGTTCCGGAGGCACAGAAACTCTAGTATTCCAAGCCAAGGAAACGTTAGTGGTTGGATCTGTCAGCAACGGAGCAGCTAAGAAGGTCCTGCGTGGTCCCGCGTTGGTTTGCGTGCCAACTCTGTAGCCTTGTGTGAACTAAAACTTCCGCATTGAGGCAGATTTTGGAGCCTTTGAGACGACTCGATTTCAGCGGGTAACGCATTAGCCAGCAGTTACGATAAGTCTCCAGCCGCATTTCTTGTCTAGGAGGGCCTGTCTTCCCGCAACCGAGTGGGTGGGACAATGAAGGCGAGAAACGGAAACGTCGCGGTTCTGCTCCTAGTACTTTTGGCTGTTCACGCCTCGTTGGCTTCACTTGAGGAAGCCCCCACGCCGCCCGTCGTAAGCCCGTCGCAATATGAAATATTATTGCAGAATACCCCAAAAAATTCGGAAGACCAGTGGCGGCACCACGCCGCGGAGCGCATTCTGGAGGCGGAGCTCGGCGAAATGGAGGGCGGCCGGCGCGTTCTGGTGGACACGGGAGTGAAGTTTGGTCTGTCGGCGCCGCCGCTCAACTCGGGGCCGAGCATGGCGACGGTGAACATGTCGTTCTACCGCTGGGAGAGCGTCACGCCGCCGCCCGTCGTCGACTGGCGGAAAACCGTCGCCATGACGGCCATCCAGACGCAGTTTGTGGTGCGTACTACTCGCTCGCTCCACGCTCGTCTGCTTCACGATATCTGCTACTAGCTACCCGGGATTGGATTGCTGTGCATTCATTCTTAAGACATTAAACAAACTAATCATGTGTTTGAGTCGTCGTGCCCTCTCACCTCTACTCAACCCAAACTCATCGCTTCCTTTCCTCAAACCCCTTTCGCAACGCTCAAGCTGCTGGGCGATCGCAGCCCGGCTGCTGGGTGATTCGTTCAGCTGACTTATCTGCTGCGTGTCTCGAAATCTTCGTTCTCTTAGTATTACGGTACCTTGCTTTGCTCACCTCCAAACGCGCCGCTTACTCTCCTTACTTCCGCTTCGCAGTGCTCAAGCTGCTGGGCGATCGCAGCCGTCGATTCCATCGCCATAATGTGGGCGATCGCCAACAACGCCACCGGGACGAATCTGTCGCCGCAGCAGGTGTGCGACTGCGCGACGAAGCAGTGCTGCCAGGGCGGGTGGCCCGAGTGGGCCTTCTCCTACGTGCTCTTCAACGGCGGCATCACCTCCAATGCTAGCTATCCCTACTTTGCCGTAGATTCTGCCACGTGTCTGCTCGACACAACCATGCCGACCGTCGCGAACATCACGGGGTGGGAGCTGGTGCCGGCATTCAACGCCATGGCGCTCATGAAGGCCGTCAGCATGCAGCCCGTCGTCGCCTTCATCAGCGCCTCCGCCTCCGACTTCACCGTACGTCCTGTCCCCCGCTCCCGTTCCCCGCGCCCCCCGCTCACCGTCTTCGGATTCCTCAACCACACAACGCCCCCGCTCACCATCTCCCAATCCCCGATTTGTCAATTTTCCGCCGCCCTGCCTTTTGCTCCCTCTCCCCGCCTTTCCCTGCACATTGTCAGCCGCTTCCTCATCCACACCTGTATTCAAATTCCCCGCGCCGCCTTCACACCGCTTCCCGATTTTCCGCGCTTCCTTGCGATTTGCAGCCTACACCCGATTCTCCACGTGTCCCCGCGCACACAGTTACCGATTTTCAGCGTTCCCTCGAAATATTTCTCCACTACCCCCGCTTCCCATCTGTCGGCCCCTGACTCCACGTGCAGACTTACGCAAGCCACGACGTGCTCAACATTTACAACGGCGTGTGCTCGACAGACGTGAACCACGCGGTGGTGGTGGTGGGCTTTAACTACACGGGGCCGGACCTCAAAGGCAGCTATTGGATCATCAAAAACTCGTGGCTCTCCACGTGGGGTGACCGCGGCTACATGTACCTCGCCATGACGCCCGACGTGCGCGGGAAATGCGGCATCCTATCGTACGTTCCTAGACGACACGCATTCCACAGGGCTCCCGCGCGCGAAATGCGTGCTTCTCTCGCAAGTGCTCTCGCAAGTGAGGGCTGTTTCTGGACCTGCTCTCTACCCAGCTAGGAGTCAAGTTGGCTCTGCAGTTCCTCCTGTTGCCTCTGTTCCCCTTCCGAAGGGAAGTCCCCTCATGCCGGGTAATCCACCAATACTGTTCCTCCTCTCGCCGATCCCCCGTTTTCTGCGCAGAACCCCCGCCATGTACCCCGTCTACTTCCCATCCAGCCAACAGCCGGCGCGCTTCTATTCCGACAAGCGCGGCAGGTGGAAAATCGACAGGGAGGACGACCTCTCGTCGCTCTTCTCCTCCTCCCTCTCCCTTCCAACCAACACCACCACTCCAAGTCAGACCCCACTGGCTACGACGTGCGCAGGGATGATCAACCCGTGCGGCGGGGGCAGTTGTTACATGAGCGGCGGAGTTCCGCGGTGCAACTGCGGCGCGCTGGCGAATTTTGTTGAGGTGTTGGGATTGCCCACGTCCAAATGCGTGCCGCGAAGTCCCTGCACGACGGCTCCTGTCAATCCTTGCAACGGCGGAACGTGCACAGATGTGGGCGACGGGACGTACACTTGTGCGTGCACTGCGGGTTACGCCGTCGGTGCTGCTGTCGACGGTTCGCCGACGTGTATCCCTGCAGCTGGCCTTGCGAAATCCTATGTTACCAACCCTGGCGACAACTGCACTTTTGTTGCAACTTCTTTCGGAATTTCGACCACCACGCTGACAAACCTGAACAGTTTCATCAACTGCTCCGTTACAGAATACCTCCCTCCCGGGATTGCGCTTACAGTTTCTGCAGCAGTGACTTCCTTATCCTCATATTGCACCAACACATATACCGTCCGGCCTTCTGACACTTGCACTTCTGTAGCGAACACTTTCTTCAACGGATCCCTCACTTCCCTTTTGGCAAGCAACCCTGGCCTGTCATGCAAACGCTTGTTTAAGTCACAGCAAATATGCCTTCAAATGGTTACCGCATCGGCCACATCGTCGGCTGCACCATGTGGGCAAAGCGTTGCCGTGGTGATGGGAGATACTTGTGCATCGGTTGCTATTAAATATTCAATTGACAACACATCATTTGCCTCGTAAGTATTTCAAAATCATGGCACTGGTTTTGTAAGTTCAAAATTCCCCCCCACCCCCCCCCCCTCCATTTCATATTTGCTTCCAATCCTACACACCGCTGTTTCACATCTGTTACTCCTTCAATTCCCCTCAGGTCACGACTTTGTAGACTCCTGCATATCCAGGGTTAATCAGTCAAGAATTCCACGTTGCAATTCCCCTCTTGCTCCTGTGCAGGCTCAACCCAGGCGTCAACTGCAACACCAATCTTGCAGTGGGCTCATACGTCTGTGTGGCGCCATCAGCACCTTCTGTAAGCACAACGAACACGCTCTCTCAGTTCATTTTGTTAATAATTCTCCTCCCACTTTACTCCCAACATTTTGTTTCCACGTTTCATGCAAGTTGTGTCTCCTCCCCCCTCTTCTCCCAAACCCTGTCGTCAGACCACCATCAACTGCACGGGGTGGTACCGGGTGATGCAGGGCGACACATGCCCCTCCATCTGGAATGCAGCCAACCTCACCATGTCCATGTTCCTCACCATCAACCCCGGCATTCAGGTAACTTCACATACCTCCCATAACACCCCCCATCTGTGTGGGTACTTGTGCCTCAACCCACCAGTCCCTACCTCCGCCAGCCCTTACCTCAGCACCTCCCTTAGCATTGCCCTCTTTCCATTGCACCGCCAGCCTCCTTACCTATTTCTCCCTTGCCATTTCTCCCCCTTGTGCAGTGCCAGGCGCCCTACCTGGTGGTGGGCCAGCAGGTCTGCATCGACTCACCCCTCCTCACCACCATGCAGCGAAACCCAAATGCCAACTACTCCATCTACACCGTCCGCCCGAACGATACCCTCTCCACCATCTCCACCCAGTACCTCACCCGCTGCACGCTACTCTCTGTTTCCCCCGCTGCCATTGCTGCCCAAAACTTCATCTCCAACGCCTCTGCACCGCTCCCAGTCGGCACCAACCTCATCATCCCCTGTATTGGCGGCATCGGTATGATTGACGGCGGCTGTGCGACGTCTCTCACGGTGTGCGGAGCGGATTTTGTCTCGTACCCATCGTACTGCCATGCAGCTGTGAACTACGGCCTTTCACTATTTGAGAATAGCCCGTGTGACAATTGTGGGGCAGCGTGCGTTGGCCGCATGGGGCTGGCCCCGGCTTCTGGGTTCGGCTGTACGCAAGCCATCTGCCCGTACCCAACCTGGATGTCAGGAGCAGACTGCACTCTAGGAGATAACAACAACGGCACTGCACCGTGCTGCTACTACCGGAAAACGCTTTGCCAGAGGTCGTGCAACGCAACTGCTGAAACTATGGGTGGAACAACCACGACTAAAACGAACAACTACAACACGTGCTGGAACAATTGCATGTGCTGCGCTGCTGCCCCATGCGGGGGTCCTGCGTGCACCACCTGGAATGACGCCTGCTACACGAAGCCCTCACCGCGCTTTTGCACGTACACCATGGGAGTTGGTTACACGTTCATCTGCAGCTACTATCCTGCTGCAAATCCCTTGCCTTAAAAGCTCATCCACGGCTACTAACCTGCAGGGGCTGCCTGTAAGGGCTGCCTGTGGGGGCGGCCGCCTCTGCTTTGATTGCTGCTTGCCTGGCTGGTGGGAATTTGCGTGCATGGAGTGCTGGTGTGCATGGGGTGCTAGTGTGCATGTGGTGCGAGGCTGCATAGTACAGACTGATTCATGCATGCCAGCGTGTTGCTTTGGAATCTTCTCACAGAGAGACTGAAGGTTCTGATGTTACTTCGATTTTGTGTTGAGACTATCTGATATTCTTTTGTTCCTTTCAATATTGTTGTTTTCCATTGTATTACCGTGATTCGCTGGATGGGGTTGGGTGAGGGTGGGCGAGGGGGGGGGGGGAGGGGGGGGGGTGGGCGAGGGTGTCAAATGTTGTAGCCTTTAGTGATGTGTGTGTCATGGGGTACAGCAGTGAGGGTTATGTTTTTGTACCCCAACGCACAATAGTCAATGACCATTAGGTTTTTGACATGGGATCCTGTGAGATCCCGGTCCTCCCCCTAGTGCCCTATTGTCGAGCCCGTCCCATACCCTAGCGCCCGTTGCGCCTGTACTGTCTCGTTCCCTAGCGCATGTCGTGCCAGTCCGTCTCGTTCCCTAGCGCCCGTCGCGTCGCGCTCGTCGCATCGCGTTGCGCTTGCCCGTCCCATCCTGTCACGTCGCGCCCGTCTATCCCGTCCCGTCGCGTCGAGCCTGCCCGTCCCGTACCGTCGCGTCAAGCCTGCCCATCCCATCCCATCGTGTCGCGCCTACCAACCGTGTCGCGTCCGTCCTGTCCCGTCCTGTCCCCGCCCGTCGCGCCCGACGCCCTGCCCGTCCGCGCCTGTTGCGCCCTACGCCCTGCCCGTCTGTGCCCGTTGCGCCCGTCGCGCCCTGCGCCCTGCTCGTCCAGTCGTACCGCGCCTGCCCTTCCTGCCTCGCCGTGCCCGTCCTGTTACGTCCCTCCCTTCTCGTCGCGTACCGCACTGCTTGCCGCACCCTACTCCGGCCTTCTAGGCTATTTTCCCCTGTCATTTCTCCACTCTTCCGCTATGGCGACGCCTAGGGTTCTCCGCGTTTGGCGCCGAGGGTAGGCCGCTCAAGTTCTCTGTCTGACTCTATGTGCGCAGCGTCACCTAGCGAGTCAGGTTCAGGCAGATGAGTCTCTGTGGGTGCACGCTTCATATGACTTCCGTGCGCCCCTCGATCCTGATTCCTTAGGCGCTAATGCCACCAATGCGGACAGAGATCGTGTTCCACGTCAGCATGCTGCGCTGACAGCCTGGAAGTTGCGCAACGATGCGGCCTACGTCGCCCTCAGCAGCCTCCTCCCAGATTCCGAGGAGACCCATTTTACCCAGGTTCGCAAGACAAGTGAATTCCTGACTGCGATCAAGGCTCGCTACGCTACTCCCACTACTGTCTCTCTTGGTCGCCTATTCCTCCTCTTCCTTTCCCGACCTCGCCTCGTTTGAGCGCTCTGCTAAGTTCATCGCTCACCTGCGTGCATTGGATTCTAGCTACCGCGCTGCATGCACTAACGCACAGCTTGCACTGCTCCTCCCCCCCATGGCAATTGCTACTTAATTCATCGCCACTAGCCTCCCTGACCGCCTTGCCTCGGTTCGTGACATGCTTCTTTAAAAGCACCCTAACGAGCTCACTATCGGTGTCCTTGAGTCTGCCCCCAAGGACGTCGAGAGCAACATCCGCTCGGTAGCCTCCGCCTCTGGCGCTGTGCCCAACCCACACTTCCATGGGTGCACTGTCCCTCAGGTGCCCACCTTTACTGCCTCTTTCGCCACTGCCGCTACTGACGTGTCCGCAACTGCTGCTACGACTTCTGCGTGGTCTAGAGCTCGGAGTGGCAGGAGGGGCGCCCAAGGTGCGGGCAGCAGCGGAGGCGGCGGAGGTGGCGTTGTGGGCGGCGGTGGCAGGAGTGCATGAGTTGGTGGAGCGCCGGGTGCCGCATCTAGTGACTCCCCTACTGTGGCTGATGGAGGTGCCGCTCGGGTTAGTCGGGCACCTGCTGTGAGGATCTAGGATCGAGCTCAGAAAAGAGAGTTTGAATTGAATGATCACCTGGGTACAACACGAGGCTATATATAGGCTCGACATAAGGGGCAGTAACCAGGTGTTACGCGAATGTTCTGAGGGTCGCGAAGCGTCCCGAACAGAACCTTCCCGAACTCGGTAGAAAGCAATTCGGTGGCAACCGAATAGCTTGAGTTCGGTACACGTAACCTAGTTCGGTGCCTATAACTATAATAACTATAGTAAAGCAACGAACCTAGGAATCAAGCAATTCATGCATGCATAAAATAAACCTAAGCTAGGAATAGCGTAAGGGAATAAAAGCAAGCATGAATAACAAGCATAAGCCGTCGTACTCTCACACGTTCCCCCCTCAAAGCTGGGTGGCGTGAGATACACCCTGCTTGACAAGATAGTCCTTGAGAGCACGGCGTGCGTTGCCCATATCAGCTTCTGCAACCCAACTGTCCTCAGTGGGGTCATATCCCTTCCAGCGTATCAGGAACTCGAGGGTCTTGCCGCCGCGGCGCCGATGAGTGAGAACACGCTCGATCTCGTACTCTGGTTCATCCTGCACAAGAACAGGTGGTGGTGGCGGTAGCTGCCGTCCCTGGAACTGTTGGTTGGGGTCCTTGTAGGGTTTTAGTAGCTGAACATGGAAAGCGTTGTGAAGCTTCCACGGATTTGGTAAGCGCAAGCGGAATGTAACTGGTGTCACCTGTGCCTCCACGAGAAATGGACCACAGAAGCGAGGCCGGAGTTTGGATGGTAGGTGAGACAGGTTCAAGTTGCGTGTGTCAAGAAGCACCTGATCTCCGACTGCTACTGAGTGATCTCGTCGCTGACGATCGGCATACTGCTTCTGGGAGTTCTGCATCGTGGTGAGACGCCGCTGAGTCTTCTCCCATAGCTGCTGCATGGTGGTGACGAAGTCGTGTGCGGCTTGGACGTGTGCCGGTGTGGTTGGCTGTTGTGGTGTGAGTGGTTCCCGTCCGTAACACAGGAAGAAAGGAGTTTTCCCTGTGGCCGCATGCGAGGCGTTGTTGTAAGCAAACTCTAAGGTCGGTAACTGTGTGTCCCAGTGGCTGATGTCGTCTTTGCAAGCTGTGCGCAGTAACTGTTCAACCACCTGATTGAGTCGCTCCGTCTGTCCGTCAGTCTGGGGATGGTATGCTGAAGACATCGCAAGCTTAGTCCCCAACAGTCCCATAAGCTCCTTCCAGAACTTACTCGTGAATTTTGGGTCTCTGTCTGAGATGAGTGTAGCGGGGATGCCGTGGATGGTGATGATGCGGTCGAAGAAGAGTCGAGCAGTTGCTTCAGCTGTAGCTGTGGCGTTGGTCGGAATGAAGTGACCCATTTTGGAGAACTTATCGATCACTACGAGGATGGAATCGTGTCCCCGTAACGTCGAGGAAAGTCCTGTGATGAAGTCGAGGCTAACGACCTGCCATGGCTGCTCTGGTACGGGTAGAGGCTGAAGTAACCCTGCTTTTTTCTGCTTGCTACTCTTCATCTGCTGGCACGTGTCGCAGAAGGTGATGAACTGCTGCACGTCTGCTGCCATCCAGGGCCAGTAGTAATACTTTGCTATTCCCGCTAACGTTTTGTTGCTCCCGAAATGTCCCACGTATGGTACGTCATGAAACTCCTCCAATAGGATCTGCCGTAGCGGGGCGTAATTCGGTACCCAAATCTTTCCTGAACCCTTCCTTACCGCTAAGTCTTTCTCCCACTGTAACAACTTCTGTTTCTCTGCCGTTGCTATCTCGCCGTCCACGGAGTACCCATGTTGGAATAGACCCTTGAGAAGAGGGTTCATCCCATCGAGCTGGATGCCTGCTACATGACCGGGGCGGCTCAATGCGTCTGCCTTGTTGTGGAGCCCGGTTTGTAGACGATGTCGTAGTGGAAGTGGGTCTCCAAGAAGTCCACCCACCGCACCTGTCGTCGTGAAAGCGTCGGCTGCGACTTCAGGTATTTGAGACTGCAGTGGTCTGTATAGACTGTGGTCTTGGCTCCCTCAAGGTAACACCTCCATGCCTTGAAGGCTACGACTATGGCTAAGGCTTCCTTGTCGTGAATGGGGTAGTTCAGTTCTGCTCCGTGTAACTTCTTACTGAGGTAGGCGATAGGCTGTAACCCGTTCCCGTGATCCTGCATCAGTACTGCTCCGACTGCCTGGTCACTAGCGTCTGCTTCAACTACGTAGTCCTTCTCGGGGTCCGGTAGGATGAGTACTGGCTGCAGTGCTGTTTGTAGCTGTTCCATGGCTTGCTGATGAGGAGCACCCCATTTAAAGGGTGTGTCCTTTTTCAGTAGGTCTGTCAGTGGCGCTGCTATCTTAGCGTACTGCGGCACAAACCTGTTGTAGTAGTTGGCGAAGCCTAGGAACTGCTGCAACTCCTTCACGTTCTCCGGAACTTTCCACTTTTTAACGGCTTCGATTTTCCGCGGGTCCACGTGTACGCCCTCCGCACTCACCATGTGCCCGAGAAACTGCACCTTCTTCAGTGCGAAGTCGCTCTTCGACAGCTTCACGTAGAACTTATTTTTCCGCAGGATCTCGAACACCTTTCGCAGATGCTCCACGTGCTCCTTCATGTTCTTGGAGTAGATAAGAATATCGTCCAGGTACACTACTACGCACTCGTCCAGGTAGGATGTGGTTCATCTCCGCCTGGAACGTCGCTGGTGCGTTGCAGAGTCCGAACGGCATCACCAAGTATTCGTAGGAGCCGTATCTCGTATGGAGCACCGTTTTGTGGATCGAGTTGTCCGCCATCTTGATCTGCCAGTAACCCGACCGTAGGTCCAGCTTCGAGAAAACTGTTGCACCACGCAGTTGGTCCAGTAAGTCGTCGATGCGCGGTATGGGGTATTTGTTTTTTACTGTCTGTTTGTTCAGTGCGCGGTAGTCGATGCACATCCGTAGACTGCCGTCTGGTTTTGGAGTGAAGAGAACTGGTGCG